AATATATGCTTATCATAAATAACTGGTGGGAAACCAAAAGAAAAGAAGTCAAAAATGAAGTTGGGAGGAAGTTTAAACATTCTTCCCCAATGCAAACTACGGACATTGAAAAAATTGTTTTAAATAGCGGGGTCAGTCAAGCCGTTGGTAATAAACAATTTTTAGACAATACCGAAAAGGCTCTGGTCCAAATTTCTCACGGGCAAAAACCGGTTATCACTTATGCCCGCAAGTCCATTACCGGTTTCAAATTGCGAGAAGGAATGCCGCTTGGTTGTAAGGTAACCCTCAGAAAAAAAAGAGCGTGGGATTTTCTCTTTGAACTAATTAACTTAAATCTACCTTTGATTGCTAACTTTCAAGGCTTTTCAACCAAGAAATTCGACCAAAAAGGAAATTATAATTTGGGAATAGACGACTTGAACATTTTTTCGACCGTTCCTTATGATTTAACTTTCAAAAACCAAGGGGTTCAAATTACGGTTGTTTTTAAGTCTTCTTCGGTCGAGGAAAATAGTTATTTTTTAGGCTTATTAGGGTTTCCTTTCAAAGAAAATAGACCAAAAATAAAATAATAGCACTTTTTATCGTCGAGAAAAATGTAATTATTGGAAATTAGAAAACAATGAACGGCACAGAAAAAAATAATAACAAAAAAAAAAAAAAAACAAGTGAAATACCAAAAATGACCGAAATAGATAAAGTGGATATAACCAATCAACAAAAAGAAAATAACGAAAAGCAAGCAGACCCTAATAATTATAATTTTCCTGAAGAAAAAAGTCATTGGGAAAAATATAAACTTTACTACTTAGTTGGCGGGAGTTTTTTTCTCACCACCTTAATTATCTTGATTAGCAATCTCAACACCAATAAGCAGATTAGAAAAATTAATTCATATTTACAATTGGGCGGAAACAATTATTCTTCTTCCTCTTTTTTTTCTGACCTTGATTCTCCATCAATGACTAGTTATTCGCGTCGTTTGGAGACTGAACCATTTCCAGAATATGTTAAGAAAAGAGTGAAAAAAGAAATTAAAAAAATTCAAAGAGGTTCCTTTGGCGGTCAAACCAAAGAAAATAGAGAAGAGTGAGTGGAACAGGTAATGTCTTTTCCTTGACATCAAATTAGTTCGGAAAATGATAATTTAATTGAAGTAAAGCAAACCCTTGACAAAGAACATTTTGGGATGAAGAAAGTGAAAGAATTAATTATCGAACACCTGGCTGTGAAAAAACAGGCGAAAAAAAAGCTTGGCACAGTTCTTTGTTTGGTTGGTCCACCCGGAACGGGAAAGACTAAAATTGCTGGTTTAATTGCTCAGGCCCTTGGTCGACCATTTGAGAGAGTTTCCTTAGGTGGCGTTCACGATGAAGGAGAAATTCGCGGACACCGCTCTACTTATGTCAGTGCTAAGCCAGGAGTAATTGTTCAAGCTTGCCAGCGAGCCAAAGTAAAAAATCCGGTAATCCTTGTTGATGAAGTTGACAAAATGAATGAAAGTAAATATGGCGGAAATCCGGCCGCGGCTTTCTTGGAAATCCTTGACCCGGAGCAAAATGAAAATTTTCGCGACCATTATATCGAACTACCAGTTGATTTGTCCCAAATAATGTTTATTTGCACCGCCAACCAAATAGATACCATTCCGGGACCTTTACGAGACCGAATGGAGATAATTGAAATACCTTCCTACACCAAAGATGATAAACAAACAATTGCCGAAAATCATTTAGTTCCTAGATTGCTAAAGAAATGTAATCTTACTAACGAGCAAATAACTTTTGAGAGTTCGGCCATTCAAGAAATTATTGACCATTATACTTGGGAGGCAGGGGTGCGGAATTTGGAAAGAAAACTTTGAAATATCGTCAGTAAAGTCGTCCTTAAAATAATTGCGGGGGAGTTAAAAACTGAAAATATTACTGCGGAAAAAGTTCGAGAATATTTAGGCAAACCTGAAATTTCTGACTTGACCTTTGAAGCCGATTATTCTAAGTCCGGAGTAGTGAATGGTTTAAGTGCTTATAATCCAGAAATAGGAGGGGGTAATGTTTTACCAATTGAAGTAAGTTATTTTCCGGGCAAAGGAAAAATCATTACTACTGGTAATTTAAAAGAAACTATGGAAGAATCCGCGAAAGTAGCA